AGAAACTATAGACTGTGAAGGCTCCATCATAAAATTGGGTTAATGTGCTTGTGGCACAAGTTGTCATTTTACCGTAAACATAACATAATAAAATGCGACAACAAACAAATTGCAGATACTAAGAAAGATGAAAAAAAAAAAAAAAAACAAATCCTCTTTAACATATTGTGATGAAACTCGCAAAAACATCAAAACAATTTAACGCACACATCAGAGAATTATAATAAAAGGTAAAATTTACCGCTAAAGCCGCCAAAAACTAAATCTTACTAACTCGTTAATTCATCATCATTCCTTTTATAATATAGTGAAGCGGTTGATATGCTAATGATTAAAGCACATCGCACAGAAATCATCTCTCTAAGCGATCTCTAAGCGATGTTGTATTAAAAATTTCCTAAAAGCGGGAAATTTCTTTGTGTACGTTACTGTTTCCATTATTATTATTACTGTTGCTATTATTATTATTATTATTATTATTAATATTGATGTCGTTGTTGCTATTATTATATATACACACACACATATATAAATATATATATATATATATATATATATATATAATTTTTTTTTATGAAAATGGTGTAAATGAGCGACAAGCACTTAAACACCTTTTCGTCTAAACGTTATTTGTACAATATCGTAGTATAATAATTACTGGTTTTAAGAAAACAGTTTAGAATCATGAAACCATATATTTTGTAAGTATTGAGTGAAGAATGATTAACTGAATTTGTGTGTACTTGGGTTGTCAGAAAAGCTATTTTACACATGCTTTCATGCTTTTTTTTTCATTTTTTTTTTTTTTTTAGATTCGCTTTAAATTATTTAGTTTTTGCGTTGAGATTTTATTAATTTTATAATTTTTTTTTTTTTTTTTTTTTTTTTTTTATATAACACTTTTAGTTATTTGTTTGAGTTTGTTGCGCCGCCAGATACTGAAAAAAAGTGAAAAGCAGGATTAAAATGAAAAACAAAATCAATAAGGAGAGGAAATGTACTTCAAATAATTAGTTTAACAAAAAAAACAACGAGAAATTCGGTCTTAGGTCTATTAAAATGCCTCTCCTCGAGGCTTTTCCAATTTCGTGTTTGTTGCCTTGTCTCTTACATATATGATCTTGTGCACATTTTCTGTGAAGAGAGGCCAAGTTTGCCTAATGACTCTCACAACTGAGATGAAATTTGATTATGGCTCAAGCTTTTATGTAACTTATGCCTTACATGGTTGTTGTATGCTTTCTTGAGGAGTTTGATATTTTCATTTGCTATATATAATTAAATTCGATTGAAGTAATGATCTTGTTTACTCATTGAAATTGATCAAGGAAATTAGGATGCATGTGCCCAAAAACGAAATAGATTTAGAAGGGTAAGCAAACGAAAAGTGCATCTTTTCTCACGATAATCTTGTATACTAAATAATCTTGTCGTCGCTTTAACTAACAATAATTTTAGTTTTCAAAGGTTTGCCCCAACAATTTGAAATCCCTGTCCTCTGATGTTGGGTTTGCGGTCTCTCTGCGAGAATGAGACCGAGACGGGTTGCATTTTACTATCAAGAATTCATAGTCACATGCATTTAGGATGATCATATGGGTAGTAAGCATACGTTATAACTTTTTTGACAATCCAATTGGTTGTCTATTTATCTGTTCGCCTGTTCGTCCATTCGTCGTGACACGCCATAAAGTCTTTAGATGCTTGATGTTTAGCGTTGTCAAACGAAACTTGTATTTATATGGAAATATATGTTTAGATATATATATATATATACGTTTATCTATATATATTTCATATATAGGGATCTCTCTCTCTGTGTGTGTGTGTGTGTGTGTGTGTGTGTGTGTGATCTTGTAAATGTCATTCGATAACTGTGATTCGTTTGTCGGTTGTCTGCTATTATTGTTCTTATTGAGTTTAACTGCCGAACATACATAGATTCTGTTCACTTTATTTGTTTCTGTTGTGTAAAATGATATATTGAGATGACATGTGCTTTAAATTATTTATTACTATGGCCATCACTATGATCAGCAACAATAACAGCAGTAACAACAATAAATAACAACAACATTAAGAATTCTTGAAGAAAACTTGTTTACCTTAAAAAAGTTTACTAACTTCTCAGTCCCGTCAGACATATATACAGACAAACGGATAGAAAGACAGACATACAGTCAGTCAGTCAGTCGGTTAGTTTGATAGCATTTTAAATGGACAAGGACTAACTTTACTTTGAAGCACAAAGATATGAACATTCGCATGCACACAATACACTTATCTTTACAATTTACACAGTGGCACACTTTAGTTGACTTTGATTTGATCCGTTAGATGCAACAACGCGTTGCAAAACAAAACTAGTTGGAAAGCATGTTTATTACAATATTGTTGCAATAATTGTTGCCCATGTTACTTGTTGTTTTTGTTCTTGTTGTTGTTGTTATTATTATTATTATTATTATTATTATTATTATTGCGTTTTGAAATGTCTTCTTTTTGAGTTTTTCTTCGTCTTCGTCTTCGTCTTCACCATCGCCATCGCCATCGCCTGCGTCTCCTTCTTCTGCTTTTTCCTTTTCGCTTTAATTGTAAGCCGGTTCTACTTTGATTGCTTTGTGGTACGCACATGCGATTATATTCTTTTTCTTTTATGCGTTCGTGTACTTGTATTTTCTGAGAACATTAACCAGTTTTCCTCTCAGGGGCATTTACTTACACAGTAAAGCGTTTTACGCTGCTTGCATTTTTCTGCATCGGCTATATGTATGATATGTAGTTCCAAGGCCGTATTTAGACTGTTAACGAAAACAGCGTTTACTATGTCTTTTATAGTTAGTTAGTTCATCGTCATAGATGGTGCACGACGATACCGGATTGATGACAATACTTATGACTTGTTCAGTGACTTGTAGGCGTTGATTTTCTAATACTTCTCGACTATTTTTACTGCTATCGCATTAAATGCATTAAAAATGTCAATTATTTGTAAATCAAATTTATTTTCTTTAATTTCGAAATATTCATCGGAAGATCATTCGGAAACTATTCGTCTGAGTTAGAGCTAATGTACGGTGGGCCGATGTCTTGATGAATTTGTCAATTGCTTTGGCATCAATCGAATAGAAATCTCGATATTTAGGCCATTAAAAAAAATTAAATGCTTCGACGTCTGTCATACTTGATTCCCAAGGCGGAGCAACAGTGTGTTCATAGCTTTTTGTTGGATGTGGATTTTGGATGAATGCAGCTTTGCAGCAAATTCATACATCTAGCACACCTTTATGAATGTAAGGTAGAAAAAAAACAGCTCATGACTATAGGATCCTTTCCCTTTGATTATTGCATTTTGTTTGTAATCTTCGGTTCGATCGTTTCCTTAATTGAGAGATAATTGAGAACATGACGAGTAAGAAAATGATTTTCATTTTCATACTCCATAATTTTGTTTGGGAATGGCTGACTTTTTATTTTTTTAAACGCGGAATTTTATATCATGTGTTTCAAGCAGACATCGCCATTTTTCTGATCATGTGTACCTTTACCACAGCAATTAACAAAGAAATGAACAGATGGATGGACAAATATGTGTATAACGGTTCACACTTGATACTGGTCAATCATGTGTAGATTTTATAGGCTTTTGAAAACAGAATGGAGTTTTGAATATGTTGTAGTATTGAATAGGCGTGGCTGATTTTTTTCATTTTTTTGCAGTTACCAGTGCCTTGAGCCAATTTCAATACCAACCTGCGTGCAATGTTTCTGGCGAATTTGAAGTAGATAGCTGCCTTTTTTGCGACTAAGAGAATGCTTACCACCGTCAGATAGAAAGACACCCAAGCTGACGAACGTATTTAAATCGACTTGAAATATGTTGCAATCATATTATGGGGCTTCCTTCTAGGTCTTGCAAACGTTTTCAAAAAAAAACTTCTCATCCTTCGGCGCGATGGCGATTGAAATGTTATATTTCTTAAAAGCCCTTAATCAATATTTCAAAGTTTTCTAAAAAAGTTGTAAATATTTAAAATATACCATTGATCTTAAAGTGGACAGAAGACCAATTAATTAATTTCGAACTAGTCAGATAGGTTCAAATAGACTAAAGATCACATAAGTATAAATTAAAATTCATGACAAAAGACTTAAATCATGGATGAAACAAAACAAAAAAAAAAAAATTTAATTTATCATCAAAGCAAAGCATCAGCTGGCATTCGAGTTGCCTCGCCTCGTCTCTCTCTCTCTCCTTAATTTACCGGCACCAAAGGCTAAAAGAGTTTATTAAATCTATCGTAGCTGCAACTAACTCCCTTAAAAGGATAAATTTGCAAAATATCACTTTAAAAATGTAATTAATAAGAAATGAGAAATGATTTGAAACAATAAAAACACTTTTCGATCATAAATTTGGTTTTATCACTTCATCTCGCCGGACGTTTCAATAAATGTCATCTATATTACGGTTAAATCGCAAGTAAATTTTTAATCTTAAATATGAAAAAAATGTTAACAAAAAAAAAAAAAAAAAATATTAAAAAATTTTTATTTGAGAAAAAAGAAAAAACAAAAGAAATCGAATTTTAAATGAGGTCACGTTTAAGTACAATGGATTGATTAATACCGCCGTGTCGGATGGCAATTATCTTACTTTACACCGCTTGAGGATAAAAATTGAAAAACAAATTTTTAAATAACATTAAATATAATTTACAAATATTTTAAATATATAAAACAATAAATAATTTGAACTTTGAGCATGTATATATAAATGTATACAAAATTAAGAAAAGCAAACAAATAAGCAAAATAAACGAAAGCGTACGAAACACCGAGAAGACGGACAAAAAGACAGATAAATATCAAAGCCCCATAATTAAGTGAAAAAATAACACTTAAAAAACTGACATAAATAAAAGTACAATAACAACAACAACAACAACAACAATCAAAACAATAACAACAACAATAACAGCAAGATAAATGACAAATACAGTGAAGCCAAATGACTTATTGACCCGACTTAATAACAACAATAGTTACAAAAACAATAACATAATATATTAACATAAGCAATAAGCAACAAGCAGCAAGCAACAAGCAGTAAGCATATGCATTAAAAAACAATGTTGTTGTTCGTATATAAAAATCACAGTTATTCGCGTGATTTCGACACGTTTTGTTAACCAGTTAAAAGGGAGCGAATGAAGATTAAAGACCGTCGCAATAGGAGGGTGCGAGAGAATGGTCGGAAGGTAAATGATTAAATTAGAGTGCAAAACAAAAATAAAATGTCCCGACTATTTGCATTGCAAAAGTGTTCGCGCGTATGATTGTTTCTGCTGGTCGTTAATATGGGATTTACAAAAAGTAATACAATGCCACGATTATATCGTCAACATGGCTTTAACATTTGCAATCGCAACCAGAAAGATACCAAATTATAATAATAATAATAATAATATTCAGCTAAGAACGAAACCTTGTATACTCACAGGTTGCCTGCTTTTGTTATTATTACTATCATTATTATTATTATTATTATTATTATTATTATAATTTTTTTTTTTTTATTTTTGTGCACAAATTATTTTGCAAACTATACGAAATTTTACAACAAACAAGAAGATTGTACTAAGCCAGGCTCTAATGTCTTATAACTATCATCTTCGCTTAAAAAAAAAAAAAATAAATAAATAAATAAATTTTAAAAAAAATAAATAAATATAATAAATAAAATTTCGATATCTTATAAAAAATCGGATGTGGATCAGGGAGATTTTTCAGTCTTTCATACAAATACTGTAGGATTGCACGTTATTATCTGTTATAGTCTACGAGCAATGAGAAGAAAATCAACTGTTTTTTGCTTCTGAAAACATAGATAATATTCACAGTTTATATTATAATGTAAGCTTGTCTTTTGCCTGATATGGACCTGCAAGAACTTTCAATCAACCTTTGTCACATTTCAAACCGATATCTCGACTTTCGTAATTGGGAGAATAATTACAGCAAACAAACACAAATTCTATTCAGAATTTGATGATCAAGTTTATATATATATATATATATATATATATAGATATATTCTTTATAGGATCTCTTAAGCTTTCTTTTGGGTCACGCAAACGTGTTATAAACCTTACATGCTTCGTAAGCGGAGACACCTTATTCTGTAACTAGCGAAGCATTTATAATAAAGCACTTCTCTTTCACATATCAAGGTATTCCAATACATAAGATAATGTTTTAATACAATATAGTTGAACACTTTTATCATACTACACTTGGAGATTAATGTAAGCAAGGTTTGCTTTCTACGAATTCTCCTATACTTTATTCCATCCATTTTACAAATTTACTGTGTATTCTCTACTTTTTCTTAGCTCTTTCCCTTATTTTGTATTTCTAGTTTTTCCCACATTTTCTAGGTGTTTATCTTTCTTCCTTTTCTTATTTACTAAGCATTGTTTAAAATTATTTGCATTTTCTACGTATCTTCTAAATCTTTTGTACTTTCTCTGCGTATTTTCTACATATTCTCTATGAATTTCGTGCAGTTCATCTTATTTATCTGCATATTCTCTACTTATTGTATTATGTAATTTTAAGAAAACGTACAATAAAATGTATTATACAAGAAGTAACGTAACGTAACATAATGTAACGTATCGTAACATAATATAACATGACATCCGCGTGTTTGTAGCTGATAATGAGTAAAGTAAGATGAACGAGATTTAGAATCGGGTAACATTTGTAAATTTTTGTCATGCAACAAACAGATAAACAATTTTTAATTAACTCTGCTAACCATGCGCAATGTATAATTCTACCGGTTATTTTATAGGTTTATATATTTATAGGTTTTAATTATGTTAAAATAACATAATTCCAACATGGTTAATACAGATTTTCTAAGGCTTTCTAATAATAAATTTCTCAAGATTTACTTATACATATACATATATATATATATATATATATATATATAAGAAATTAATCAAAATATTATTTTTAACATTTTATTTAAAATTGATTTGATGGAGACTTTTTTTAAAATAAATTTCATAAATTTTCTTTACAGTTTTAATTTCCCACTATGGCAACCACTTTATGTGGTGGAGTTGGTGGTAATGCATCACAGACACTAATAGGTAATCAAGTTAAAACTCAGCAAGATTCTTCCACAATAAATGGAAAACGCGGCCATATAAGGTCAGCTTCATTGGAAAATGCGAATTTAATTGCTGCGAAGAATACGCTAGGCTTGCCAATGTTGCCTGCAGGTCATACGGGCACTCTAAAATCGCGTGATGAACAAAAACGCATGCGTAACAAATTTGGCAGCTATAGCAACTTAGAAGAGACACAGCAGGGTCGCAGTAGATTTTATAATATACGGCAGATGTTTGAATTTACGAAAACAAGTCCGAATATGAACTCAGCAATAACGTCAACAGGTAGTAATAATCTTGCCTATAACGATGAGCAGCAATTACAATCATTGCCGACAACATTTTTAACGCTTGGTAATGCAAAATCATCATCATATCAGCATTCGCCAAATCATGCACAAGCTCAAACCAGACTTCAGGCTACACAAATAGGTGCCAATGCGTATCAACAACATTATGTGCAACAACAAAAACAACAGCAACAATCACAACAATCGCAACAACAACAACAACAGCAACAACAGCAACAGCAACAACAGCCGCAATCGCAAACACCACGGAAACCGATATCAACCACCCCGGTCGCCATAATTGCAGCCAATGCAAGCGGAAGTGGCAGTCGTGCCAGTATTACGGAACACAATGAACGGCTTAATATAACCGAGAATTTAGATAACGGTAATAACACGCGTCCAACACTTCAACAACAACAACAACAACAACAGCAACAACAACAACAACAGCAATTGCAACCACAACGTCTACAAACTCACACTGCTATGGTGTACAGCACGAGTCATAGAGATTTGTTAGCTCAGCAGCGCAGTGTCAGTGATTTAGCGGATGTTGAGGAGGAGAACCGCCACGATCAGGTATATATATTATAGCATTTAAAAGCATGCGCAAGTGTGTCGCCAAATTTCAGCATCGCATGCTTTAAGCACTTGTCTCTAATACAATAATAATTCAATTCAATTGTTTGTTTATTGTTTTTATGTTTTGTTTTTTTTTTTTTTAATTTTTGTTTTTCCTTTTCTATATATATTTGGGTGTGTTCGTTCCACCTTCACAACATCATATGTATGATATTTTTTTAAAATACACCTTACCTTCATTTAGTTGTAATTCATGTTTTTTCCGCTTCGTTTTTTTCTTCTTTTACTTTTTCTTATATTATTTATTTATTTATTTTTTTTTTTTTATGTTATTTTTTTATATATATATGTTGCGTTGGTTGTTGTTTGTTGTTTGCTTCTAAACACACAGGCCACAAATCTTTTACGCCCGATTGCTTTTAAGCCGATCCCTTTCGAACCGGACTACAGTATTCCCAGTCGTTATTGTGATGTTGTTGTCAACTCAGCCAACGCTGTACATTCTGTCGCTGATCGTTATGGCTCAACACCTTCGCTGGCTCCCATGCAAGGTTCTAATCTAAGATTTGGAAGTGAGTAATAATAATATGAGAGAACACGTTTCTTTGCCTTTTATTTTATGGTAAATACAAAAAGCTTTCATGAACGGTTTTTTCTTTTCTATTATTTATTTTTGTTGTTGTTGTTGTTGTGATTAATATAAGAAAGATATTAAAATAAGATAAAAAAAAAAAAAAAAATTATTAGAAATGTACATAAAAGGCAGTTTCTATAAATTGTGTAAACAATTTCACTATACATAAATCCATATATAACGCATCTCTTATATCATATATATATAAATAAGGTAAATAAGAGAATGATTGACAAAAATTGTTAAAGACAATAAATTAGCCACACGCAGCCATCTTAACTACTTATACTATGTATGATAGAACAATTTTACGGAAAAAAAAATCGATATATGTCCATACATACTAGAGATGCAAATAGAAAGTAAAATATAAATATTTTTTTTATGAAAAAAAGTAAGAACAATTTCCATTATATATAGAATATTAAAAAAATTAAACCTTGTTCTAAAAGGCCTACTTAGGTGGAATGGCGGCCACAATACAGGTCCAAATGTTTTCAGTTTTGGCCCCATTAATTTTTATGCCAAATTTCTATTACGGGCCAAATCTCACACTGAAATATTAAACGTTTGACCTTTTTCCCCTATAAAGTCTTGCGATTCGAAGTTTTCACATTAATTTAATATTCGAAAATTCGACTACGATCGAGAAATTTTTCGTAAGAAATTGTCAAGGAGTGAGTACTCGAAAAATGGTCCGATTGGCAGCACGGCAAGCATGTCGGTGTAGCAATTCCTATTAAAGTATCCCAAAAATTGCGTCCTATGGGTTTGAATACAAAACCATATATGGATAGACGGAAAGACAGTTCGCTTAGAAGATGATTTTGTATTGGATTTTATATCTCCTGATAGGCTAATGAAATATAAAAAAAAAAAAAAAACAAATAAGAAAGTTATATTCGGCGGTGGACGAATCTCGCACATCTCGAAGGTCGCCGTGTCTACCCTATTCCTTTTAGGATTAACTCATTTTTAGGCAGATAGTAAATCTTCATTTGACAACTGCCTTATGGTAAATAAGCGTAAAACCTCGAAAAAGTGAAAAACAAAAAATAAAATTTAATTACTTGCAACTTTATGTGGGCATGGCTGATTAACTCCATTTTGGAGCTGGAGGCTATTGTAAAAGTAAATGTGGAAAACTTTCATAATGTTCGAGCAACGAGCCAAAATCCACAAATTTTTGTTAAGCAGGGCGGAGTTGCATTAAGTTCACGCTCCACTATGGGCTTATCCCGCGACCAATTTGGGCCATTTTCAATATCAACCTGCGTGCGCGAACTTCCAATGTTTCTACCAAATTCAAAGTCGATATCTTCATTTTTCGACCAGTACTTGCAACCAAACACCACACAGACAGATAGACGTATTGCCGGACAGACGTGGTTTAGTCAATTCAGAATTTCACGCTGAACAAGAATCTATTAAAGTATATAGGATCTCTGAAGCTACATTTTGGGTGTTAGATAAATTAACAAAAAAAAAAAACAAAATGACTAAACCCCCATCCTGCAGTGGTGGGTATAAAAATAGTTAATAATAATAATAATTATATAATAATTAATTAATAAGTGTATAATAAACATAGTAAGAAAATTATATTCGGTCGTGACCGAATCTTTTATGTCTAGCACCGTAGCCTAGAAAAGTCAAAAAGAAGGGAAACGAACTAAATTGGGTGGGCGCAGCTCATTTTTTTTCTCCTATTTTCAGAATAATAGTTTTGTGTCGCATAGGCATATGGGCATTCTAGGCGTGTCCTTTGCAAATTTTGGGTTCACTTCCAAACTTTTTCGCAAATTTCTAACCGATATCTTCATTTCGATATCATTGTTTTCAGTTTATGTGGTACTGTGTGTACAGCGTGTGCTTCGACCGATTTGGCCCATTTTCGTGACCAATGTGCATGCAAGGAGTTCCCAACGTTCCTGTTGAATTTGAAATCGATGACTTCATTTTCGAGGCCAGAAGTATGTTTATAACAGACATTACGGGGACGGACAGGCGAATAAACGGAAATCGGCTTAAATCGGCCTAAAAATGCATGCTTATGCAGAAAATATAATATTTTGTGAGCTTACTGCGGCTTCTTTCTCGACGTTGCAAAAGTTTTGACAAAATAAATATATATCCCTCATCCTTCGCTGATGCGTATATAAAAATAAAGTACAATTTAGGATGCAATTCCTATTACACTCTATACCTAAGTGCATCAGTATACACAAGCACAACCGGCCGTTTTACACACTATGTTTTATGAAATGACGGAGAAAACTGTTAGGAAAATGTATAATTCGATTAAAGAATTCATGACCAGCTCCAAAAACTGCGTCCAAAACTTATACTTTTTCGGTGAAAGGTGGTCTGAAAGCCTTCGAATTGCTTTCAATCACATATGTACACAAAGGTTGTCTTGATGAAGTTAAGGGAACATATTCAGTGCTTTCAAATCAACATAAATAATTTCCAAAGACATCGGTTAGTGTTTTGGAGCAGTTAGAAATCAATAGTTAAAACATGAGACTATCTCTTTCGAAAAAAGTGCAAAGTTTGTTGCGGGCTATGAACTTTATCTTAACTTAAAGTCCGAGAACTACAAATCAAAATCAAAACAATAGTTTGTGTGTAAGTACTGTATAGAATGGAAAATGAGACTGTCTCTTAAATAACCGTAGCTTATAAGTTCATAAGATGATATAGATTTTAATAGCTCCCGTAACTATTCTCTCTTAGCGGAAGAGCATCGATTTAAGAGAACGATTTGCGTTTAGTGTTCTTTTGACTTGTTTTGTAACAATTAATTATTGCAAATTAATTGCATTTGTTAATGCATAAAACTAAACAATAAAACATGGAAAAAAAACTCGCGATATCATAAATATATACGAATACATATGCATACACGCATACATACATTTATCAAATAAATAAATTATAACTAGAGGAGCTGTTGTAATTAACTTGTACGTTTATTTTTTTTTTTTTTTTTTATAATCGTTAGGCACGACCGACTTACGACATAGTGGAATTGGTATTGTTGGCGGAGGAGTAGGAGGTTTGATTGGCGGTGGTAGCGGCGCTTGTGGTGGTGGTGGTGGTGGTGGTGGTGGCGGTGGTGGTGGTGGTGGTGGTTGTGGTGGTTATTCAAGCAGCAGTTATTGCAACAGCCTTATGGCACGTCGACGTGGTTCCAGATCGTTGAAAATCAACGATAGTATGGAGTCAATTCGACATACACCGGACTCTGATGCGAACAACCAAAGTGGAACCATGTAAGTATGAGTAAACACGCAATTGAATAAAACAAAAAAAAAAAAAAAAAAAAAAAAAAAAATTAAAAAACAATAACAACAAATGAAAAGAAAAAAAATACAACAAAATTAAGAAAAAAAATGAAATGGAAATATTACTCAATGCATGCGATGATGAATTTCTAAAATTGATTTCTATGCACTCACCTGCTTGCATATTATATATCTATAGAAAATCGAACGTTAGCAGCAACGGCATTAGCAATAACACTATGGCCGGCAATAATGCTCTCAGTAATAATGGATTAAATAAATATTTAACAAGCGATCAATGCGATATGACGCCTTCGCCATCGGATTCTGGAATTTCAGAATTGGAAGCAGTTTTAAAAGATCGTGACTCCGAATTATCATATTTAAGGCAGGCCATGGAGCATAATGAGAAAGTAATTTTCACAGTACACAAGGTTTATTTTTTATTTTTTTTTCTTCCTTTCAATTTAAATTATGCTTCCTACCTCGATAAACGTTGATTAACATTCCATAAAAATTATTGCAGGATAAAGAAACCTATTGGGAAAATGAAAATCGACGTTTACGCACCTATTTCGAGGCTCAACAACGAGAATTCATGTTGAAAATTAAGAAAATGGAGCAAATGCTGGCCATGCAACAATTTCAATTCAAACAGAACAAGCTGAGATATAGCGAACAAATCAATAAACTAAGAGAACAAATAGCTGAACTTAAGAACGAATGCGAAATATTAAGGTAAGTCTCGTGATAGAAAATTTTCTTTGAAAAGCAATGCCATGAGTTAGTGTTAACGCGTTAATGTAATAAAATCATCAAAATCATCAGTCGAAATAATATAAAACAGTACTAGCATATAAAGTTGATAATAGTCCTTGAATAAAACTAAATGGAGTTCTAAAATAATAAAACTTTAGCGAAGAGAGTAGAAAAATCAAAAAATTCCTCTGTTCAAAATATATTTTGAAAAGGCTGCTATCGAATAGAAACTTTTAGGTTTTGAAGATTTATTACTTGACTGAAAATATATCATTTGAATTTTCATTTACAAATCGGCACTAAAACGTGTAAGTTTTCATTGGCGATCACATTGTGCACAAGTGATAAGAAGTGCTTAAGTTAAAACAAAAACGATTTACACAATAGTTTCAAAGCCAAATCGAAGAGAGCTTCATAATCATTTCAGCAAGAAAATTTATATATGGACATGTTCGGTAAGATAAGGAGGGCACGAATTACAATTACAATATATAACGCAGGATAACGAACTCGGACAGATTGATTTCGAATTATCGACACTGCTTAAGAACGCAGAGAGATTAAAACTTGTAAGTGGAGAGAATAACATGCATAACGTTGGCGAGTTCAGTAGACAATACAAATTTTTTAAAGCAGAAATAATTTAATCCTTTCATCTTCCACACCGTATTTATTCGGTTTACGATAGTACGAAAGTTTCATATTTATGTCGTTATTGTGTTGACAAAAAAAAAAAATGAGGAAAATTTTCATAATACTATATGTCCATGGACTTTCAGTTTTGATCTTCTAGAGACGTCGAAACGAAGAAACGGTTACGAGTGGATGTTAATTATCAAAAAATTAAAAAGCTTACAAAAGTTCAGAATTCTTTGTAATAGTTATTATTACATTCATTCATAATTGAATCTATCTGGGCGATCACACTTAATATTCTTACAAGCATCTATGCAAATGTAATGATCATAGTTATGTGCGTATTTTAGAACGAATAACATCAGCTTAAAAAATTCGGAAAGGAATTTGAAGGACCGTTCAGCTTATGTTGAAGAGCAGCTGGAAGAAAGTCATAATCTGATAAGCAGTCTTAAAACGCAACTAGAAGAAAGCGAATGGAGAGTGTGCGAGAAGAATGGAGAATTAGCTTTACTTAAAACTCAACTCAAAGAAGCAAATGTTAGTATAAATCATTGTTTCCCCAATATATCGATATATGTATAAATTTTTGCGTTTCTTTATCAACTATTCGTATAGAATGAGATCACTTTAAAGGAACATGCCTTAGTTCATTTGAAACATGAAACTGTCAATAATACGGAAACTCACGTCTACCAAAGTCTTCAGGAGAGCCAACAGGTTGAACAACAATTGCAGAATCAAAAGGATGCCGAAGTCGAGTTGAAGCAACTCAATAAAATCATTATTTTAAAAGATCAAGTGATTCTCGCTTTGACCAACGAGTTGGCTAAGCTACGCAAAGAGCTCTCTGATTTAGCCATATTTCATGAGTACGGCGAAGAACCGTCTGGCAAGTATATGCGCTTAAAGCAACAATTAGATAATCTAACCGATATCTGTAACAAGACACGCAAACACACTCAACAACGTATTGAGAATTCGCGCCTGGAATTGAAAAATAATGCGGAAAAAGTTTTAGATGATAACAATCTTGAAGTTATTATGAATTGTTTGAAAATTGCTCCTCCCCTTGATGAGGGCGATTGCGATGAATGCGAACGATATAAATTAAGTTCAGAGAAACGCTTAGCTAAAGTTAGTTCAGATATTCACAGTTTTATTCATGGATCGATTAATTTGCCCGATGTCGCTCTCAATGTCAAATCTCTGAATAAATTACCGAGCAAATTGGAGGAATCGACTCTCGATACTCTAATCGAAGAATCGACAAATTATGCAGAGGAAATCGCTAATTTACGAAAGCAATTGGATGATGTACGCGTCAATTTTGAATTGGAGAAGCGGCAATGGTCGGCTGAGAAGGAAAAGGTGCTAAAATATCAAAAACAATTACAGACTCATTACATAAGCATGTATCAAAAGTTACGAAGTTTAGAAAAGTCCAGTGATGTTGTTTAACTTGCATCGTTTTTCCTTTCCGTTCTCTTCTTTTTTCTTTACCTTTTTTTTTTTTTTTTTTTTTTTTTAATTATTACAACAACAATTGTTATCTTATGCTTTTATTTTTAAGATTTTATTGTATTTTTCTAATTTATTACGAAATTATGTTTTCATGCATAGACCACAGGGACACCATATATTTGCATACAATTCATATTAAGATGTCCAAGTATTTACATCGATTTATTTTGTATAAAAAAAAAAAAAAAAAAACCTAGAGTGCTAAACAAATTATGATTTGTACTTTTTTTAATAAATAAATTACTTTTCTTCACAATTTGTGACATGAAATATTTATTTATTATTACGTAAGGACGTAAAACTTATCTCTCTTACCCTCAGGATAGCGAAATGTTTGAATGCAAATTTAGTAACTCCATTAACATGAAGCAGAGACGTCAAAAATTACACATTTTCATCATCCTTCCAAACATCAATATAGATGACATCATAAGTGTTGAAATCTTTTACATAATTGTATGTTGGTAGTTAAAACAAATATCGTCTCATGCTCTACATTACCAGGTTGGAAAAACTCAAGACAATATAGTCGGGTAAAAGTCTCTCTTTCTAAAATATCTTACGCTATAGCTGATAGAAATCTTCCTTTCATAAAATTATACTCTGTTATCGTAAAAACGTTTGCTCTTCATACGAGCCTTTCAATGAAAACGGGAAGACCGAAAAACGGTGTATGTAGTCTGAACACAGCGCATTTATATCAATTTTTGTTCGTAAAATATATGAAAATATGAGATCTATATAAAAGTTTTTTTGTAAGAATGTTTATACGAGAGCAAGTTTAAAAAAGCCAAGACCGACCATTCGCTACCTTACCCTGCTGCGCCTAGTAGAGTTATTCGCTCATTTTTGTAATAATACATCAAAAATTACACATTCATATGAGGCCTTGTTTTTGATGTATGTGTTATGTGGTTCAAAAAAATCGACCCATGTCTGTTGTCATGTGGTCTAAAAAATAGACTCATGTGATTTAAATTCTTTTGTTATATTGCTACCATGGATCAATTTTCATCGTAAGATATTAAAAATTAAGCTTTTTCTGAAAGACTTACTATTCATGGTTAGTCTTACAGGTGGTGCGGTCAAAGATATACATCCATGTGGATCAAATTTGATCCACTTAATTTTTATATCAATTTACTATTATGAAACAATTTTCACCATAAAATATCACACATTAGACCTTTTTATTACATAAAGTTTCAGTTTTCTTTGAGACGGTTATAAGAAAGGTGGTTAAATATATTTCCCCTGCCGAATCAAATTTTTCATTGCTACTTAGAATGTCAAACAAGTAAGAACATTATAGTCGGCCGAAGCCAACTACACCACTTCGCTTGGTGCAGTTACTCGCAAGTTTTGTATGAGTCAATTTTCATCTCCACATATTAAAACTTAGACTAATCTGCTCTACCAAAGATCAATATATCAATTTATCAAGACCCAAAATGCAGGTCGAGATGGTCCGAATTTGATACAGTTCATTTACTACTATTATGATATAATTTTCATCATTAAGCATTGAAAATGATAACTTTTGTCATATGAAGTTCAGTTTTCGTTATATGAGAGGATGTTAAAGAATTGCCCTAACCCTTTTCGTACCAATTTAGAACACCGAAATACTAACACTTGGCCCCGCTTGCCGCGACATTCTGAAAATTGCAATTTTTACCATATAAAAACTTTTCAAAATAGGGCGTTATATGGGGAGTTGTTGAAAAAGAAGATCGATCAGAACCATTTTCAATAGCGTTCATCCTTGAGTCAAAACACGTCACTGTACCAAATTTCATCAAAATATCTCAACAATTGCGACCTCTAGGTTGAACACACGGATGTATGGACAGACATCACATGGTCAGACAAGCTTGGCTTGATTTAGAACCACTTTCTGGTGTATCCTTCTGGGTGCTACAACCGTCCTCGCAAAAATTTAACATACCCTGTACCACAAGTGTTGTACGGTGTATAAAACACGAAGCTTTCTTTTAATTCCACTAGGATCATCAGAGTGACCAAGAAAATTTTTTGAGTCAAACTTGTACAAGCGCAATTTTTTGCAATTTTTTTATTTGCTTGGCTAAAATGTATGCTTCGGCGTCCAAATCTGATCTGCAGACTTTAGGTGAGAATAAAGATATCAGGATTCATTTTTTTTGATTTAATATTTGTAATCGTCTAACGTGTAATAATAGTTGACGGAGGAGTGAATAACAGGCGATCATTTTTAAATCGATTCTGAATGTTTGGTTGATGAAAAGAAAAAAAAACATATAGACTTTATGAAGGCATTATACTACATTTGTGGGTCTTGTAAACGCACTGGCAGGACTAACATTCTTCTTTAGAAATCTAAAAATCCAAATAATTATGAATGTATTCATGTACAGGATAGTTGGTCAATCGTAACTTTTTTGCCTATTTTCATTATTTCTCAGGACAGCCATGCAAATTATGGCGTAAGGCTATATCTTCGCTAAAAAGATGCTAAATGTTAGGTCATCGAATTGAATTTATTCTAAAATAGAAGAATATACGAATTAATAGAGGGGTGAGACACGCTCAAGGAGAAGTATACAAAAAATGTTTTTTTTTTATTAATTCGAAAATGATTGCAAAACGACGAGATCCACTTTAGTCATCATATTAAGCACAGTAGCTGAATCGGTTTGAAACATTAGTAAACGAACGATGAACAAAGCTTTGACTGTGTGCAGAAACTGGACATAGCTGCAAATAGGTCTCACTCATGTATAAATTTCCGAATTATTTCACTGGTGATGCACCGTTGTACAGCAAAGTCGAAATTTTTCTTGGTAATCTGCAGATTGCATCTCAAAACTTATTACTCGAAAAATTTTCATACCAATATATTTCCGACAGACAACATTCCTAATGCATTTTTTAACGTTTAAGATGACACACAAATTGCACAGTTTTCTGGTATAAGGAGAGCTTTTTTGCGGGAACGCCACGACCGTTAATATCGGAAGTTGACCTAAGGCGGCGACAATCGGGGCAAACGAGAGAAGCTCGAAAGTTAATAGCAGAAGCTGGCCCAAGGCGAGGATAATCACAGTTGATAGCATTAGGAGTAACACTTGATAGAGCTGCTACTCGAGCAGCTGGCGTTACTGCCAAATTTTGTTCCCTTATCAGATTATTCTTGTTTACGGGGTTCTAATGTAGTAACTGAATCTAATAGATGTGGTATCACTCACTTCACTCTTGAAGTATTTGGTGAAGATATCGACTTCAAATTCGGTAAAAACAAATTGACGCATAGAGCGGCGGTGTGTAAAAAATTGTTTTGTATGGGTAGCCAAATAAGTAAAAGATCGGGACTAACCGTTGAATGGTCGCGGGTTCAAATCTCAAGTGCGGTAATGTTTTCAATACACCTGAGCATATATGATCCAACTTATTCGGCAGAATTTAAATGCATACTTTGTAAGTTTATTTGCAAAATATATAGTTCCAATAAAAATATAAAGAATATTTAGTAAATGGTTAAAGCAGTGCAATACCAGATTACTCAATTGGTTTAATTTTTAGATCTCTCATAAGGTTTTCTTTGAAAGGGTGACCCTGGACTCACCAAGAGATGAAAGTTAATGTTATTGGATTTTTCTACAAAAAGGTAAGAACTAAGAAGAATACACCAGCGTCGCCTGCAAGCCATTCTAACAAAATGTGAACACTTTGTCTCTATGCAATGTAAAGAATCAAAGTGAGTAAGAAAATGAAACAATATTTTCTTCGACCGATATTAAGATTTGCAATGCTTTCTAACACTCGACCGTACTCCCGCCTTTTGGATCATAGACGATGGTGTGCATTTCGTCTGCCTATAAATTTTTCTGATTTCTCTTCTAGTGAAATGCATCAACTTACACAAACAACACAATCTCTTTGGCTTTTTTAATATTGTCTTCAAGATTCAAAGCTCCGTTTTAATGGGCGAGAGTTCGCTTAAAATATTATATGCGCCGAGACATTTTTCACCGGTAAATTTCAAACTAAAAGGCATTCGACACAAGTCACTTTATCGAATTCAAAAGCGATTTCTATTTATGTACTTCCATAGACTTGCTGTTCTTTTTATCAGCGATTTTTAAGGGCGAGTCAAAATGAGCTGATTGTAGTGCATAATATACGTATATACATATATATATATATATATATATATATATACGACATTTATTTAGTTAATTGTTTTTAAAACTTTTTCCTTAAATTTAGTATATACATAAAATCTTAATCATTTTTCTTGTATGGAGATACCTTATAAATAAATTAAAAACTTTTATTAAAAACTTTGTTTCAAAGTAATTTTCGATTTAATGCAAGATTATATTTTCATTTATTGATTGACATTTTTGTTTTTTTTTTTGATTTTAAACTATACTTTTGTCTTTTACGACTTTTCATGCTTCGTGTAGATCGGAAAAAGAAAAAATCTCTTTTAACGTTAAATTTCTCGATTAAATTAAATACTTACGAAAACCTAATTATAATTCTAAGTAATAACAACAACAAATATTTAAAGGAGATATTAAGATTTGCGAAAATAGAGATAAAGAAAAAGTAAAGCTTTTAAGTAAGATTGGTGAGAATGAAACTAAAAACATTATTCGTTAAAGATAATATATCTTCCCAGTGAAATTTCTACTGATTAACTTTTCGAGTGTTCCACTTAACATAATTTTCATATTATTCTCGATTATTGGATTTTTACAATTTTTCAATATACATCCAGTAAGCATACGATAGTCATCATGTGAGCTGCCGCAAAGAAAAATTTGTGGTAAAATATTTAAATTTCAAACAATTTCCTCGACATAGGTTGCCGGGAAAATGCCAATTTGATTGCGTAACGCTCCCAACCACCAGCCATCTTCTTGTTTAGCGTGAATTTCAATAATGTCGCCAGGATTCAACTCCAGTTCATCATATAACTTAGGACTGTAACTATACAGAGCCTTACATCTACCTAAGACTATCGGTATCTGAATGTTTTGTTTCTCCTGTGTGTCGACCGTATTCTGATAATGATTATTTGCCTCCGAACTTTGGAGATTCGATAACGTTGTACTCTTTGTGATAATCGTTTTATGGTCGCGGCGACCACCGCCCGAGCAATTAGTTGTCGTTTGCTCATCATCGTCCTCTTGTGAACTGAATTCATCAAAATCAGAATCCTGTTGATTCGAGCCACCATCCGCTTGGCCTCGATCACTACAAGCGTCGGTGTAATCGTTTGTTGATTCCAAAGTTTTAATTTTTTCTGGCAAACCGTTCATGCAAATTTGAGTTTGTGTACTAAAAGTTTCAATATTACTTTTACTACGATTGTACGATTTAAGAGCATTGTTATCCGAGTGAACTGAATTACTGGAATTATCCATGCAACTAATATTCGAACTAGATATTGTAGTATTGGCCTGTGATACACAGTCATAATCTCCACTGTCATCGCCCGTAGTGCTGCCAGCTGATGTGTTGATTCTATCATTATTTTTTAACCATAGCGGTACCTTGAGAACACTTTGTTGTAGGCCGGTACGATCGCGTGTTATCTGTTTAAGTATAAAATTTTAATAATAATTCTAAGAAAAGCCTATAAGTAGTAACGATTTTAACCTGTATATGTTGTGCTAATGGATGAGAAGATCTGGGTTTATGATCTAATTCCAATAATGCCGAATGCAACTTGAAACGTGCCCCTTCCAAATATGTAAGCATTGAACGTATCTATTAAAATATTACATGAATACATATGAAAAATGGAATCTCCTTCAAATATCTAATTACTTTCGATTTTCCGACTTACGTGATATAATTTGTCTGTGATATTTTGATTCTCTTGATTGGTCAGGGACTGTGATAAATTTTTAAGGCCGTTACGAGAGCGACGTTCTCTTTCCAAGTCGGTCTTAACCAATTGCAAAAGTTTAACTAAAGCATGTTTACGTCTCTCTCGATTCATGGCCAAGGTAGTATGTTCGCAATAGAAATCTGGCAGCAGTTGTTCGCTGGGACCCTCAGCATTGCGTCGTATATTCTTAATTATTTGCATATCTTTCATAACATTGCATGACTCCGTCTGCGGTTCAAGTCTCTGCAGTAGACCGTCGAGAACTGGATTCATATTGGCAGTAAGGCGTGTATAATTCGATATAAAATTTTTCATATTTATAAGCCGCTGATTTTCGATAGTCTGCAAAAGAGTAGAGCCACGCAATACAGCCATTTCCCAATCGACTCGTGCACGTTCCGCTCTAACGCACATCGTATAATATTCAACATCGGCACGCTTGACGGCTTCTTCGGCTTTTTTCCGCTTCTGATCCAATTTGGCGCAATCCTTTTCAGCCGATTTAATTTCTTTCTCAGCAGCAGCTTTATTCGCACCCTGATGCAATAGAGCTATCGATGGCGACTTTTGTATTCGTACATCCAACATGGCATCTTGGAGTTTTTCATTTTCACGTGCCGCGGCATGGGATGCCTTTTTAGCTTTAGCTTCACTAACACGCCATTCTGCTAAAACGCGAGCAGCTTTGTCTACAGTACTTTCGACCTATCGCAGTAAGATAATGAGAATGTACAACGATTTGAGAAAATATTAAAGATATTATTACCGATTTGCGTGACTTGTGATGACTTTCAACAATAGCTTTTAAAGGCTTAACTATTTCGTCATTTAAAGAAACCGACAATTGACGGTGAATGTCGCTGCGACTTTCCATTTCGGTAGCCACACCTCGCCAAGCTTCAGCGACACTGCCCGGCAGCTCACGGCAGGCTTTATTCAATTTGTTAGCCATTTTTGAAAGTGATTTCGAATACAAAAGCTCCGAATCGATTCTAGGGAGTTAAGTAGTTGTAGAGAGTTAGGTCGGTCATAATTTTCGTATATCGTAAGGTTTCCAAAAAAACGAAGCACTTACCTTTCTTGCAGAATAAGGACAAGCTCTTTACCAAAATCTCCACCTTGTTTAATGTAACGGCGCAGTTCTTCAAAGCCGTTTTGCCCCTAAAAATTGAAAACAAAAGCAACAAAATGAATAATAATAAGAAAAAGGTTGAAATAAAGCGAACTAATTATATCGTAATTTATTCAATGTTACCAATAAAATATGTATAGACCACGCTGTTAATTAGAACTTTGACACATTTAAAACTTTATCTAACTTTATGTGGCATAATTGTTTTCTTATTTCCCTTCTAGGCTGCTTACCTCGTGTCTAAATTTTTTTAAATTGGGTGATATTGGATCACCTGTCGGCGAATTGTTCAATTCATTATTTTCATCGGCAATATTATCACAACTGTGATTGTTACTCTTCACTTCCCCGCTACTTAATTTTAAACTTGTTTGCGCTATTGCTTGTTGTTCGCTGCTTTCTAATACTCTTTCTTGAGAAGCATTACGGAGTCGTAAAATCGTGCTACCATTAAAAGAAGGTGAATTCCGTGTCTCCAGATGAGTTAGATTTAATTTTGAGGATCCTACTCTTTGCACTAAGGGTTGCCTTTGAACTGCGTCACGTAGTCTAGCACCTTCTTCGCCAATCCAATGCTTGACATCGGACCAACTCTTTTTTAATTTTTCTTTATTATGGTTCAAAGTAACTAGCGTCGAGTTCTTGTTCTTCAATAACGTTATACGTCTTTCGTTCGGCTTTAGTTGATCGCGATGTAGGCAGTATTCCAAGTCAATGGCCTGATTAAAGTCCTCAGTTTCATTGATTTGTCGCGTTATCTCATTGAGCTCATCTATAGACACAAACAGAGACTGGGCGTTAAGACTGTGACAACTAACCGATTTCAAGTCGTAGTCGTCAAAATTACTAATTTGTGACAATACACTATTTTTAGAGCCATTCATAATGTTGCGGGACTGATTAACCGATGTACTGCTACTGAACATAACACTGCGCCGTTTATTTCTGCGCTGATTTAAATTATCGGCGCTTTGATATTTTGTTTGTTGATTTAAAAAACCGCTCCTTTTCTGTTGGGGATACATTGGCGTATTAGGTTCACTTTTACTTTTTGCGGACGCAACCATTGAAGGCGAAGAATTTTCTTTATCCGCATCGTGATCATCGTTATCGGTGATCATATTACCAATACCATACAACTCAGGAAGTTTGGGCAAATTCTCATCAAAATCATTAAATGCTTCGTCGCTGATTTCTTTAACTTCCTTCAGATTCATTGAGTTGGCTTTCTTGAGAAAAACTTTAAGTTCTGAACGATGTATGTTCTGCACTGATCCTAAGACATTTTCTTGCTTCAATTCAGGCAGAGAATGATTGCGATTGCCAAGCATCAGGACGCTACTGTTTTCCTGCGGTAGAAGGCTATTTTGAGAACAATGCGATTCAGGCGATTGCCCTTCGTAATTGCTCTCGATTTTTTTCGGTGTTACGTAGGTTTGTTCGCTGTTTTCATTTTCTGTTTGATCGGTCCCATTTTCTAATTCTTCAGTTAAGGGAGTGCTGCTAAGAGCGTCAACATACACCTCATTTTCGCTACCCGATGATGAGGGCAATTTTTCAGAATCAATCAACGGTTTCAATTTCATCAATGTACTGGTATCGGCTACGCCACCACCAATCATTTTTAGACGTTCCTCGCTAACGTCAAAACGATCCGTATCTAAAGTAGTCGAAGATATTAGAATTGGTGCACCGATTTCCAAGCGGTGATCTTCGGAATTAGCGCCGTTCATATCGTAACTGCCCGATAAAGGTCTTGGCGGCGATTTCGAGGTGCGTCCTTTCGGTGAACGTCTGCGTATTTTATTGCTAAGTGTCGAATAACGTTTACTCAGCTTATTTAAAAGACTGTTGTTACCATTAGTTGGATTATTATTATTATTATTATTATTATTGTTATTGTTTCCGATATTGCAGTCTGTGCTGAAACTGCTGCTCAATTTGAATTTTTGCGAACGTAAACGATTCATAATGTTGTCTATTTCTTGACGTTAACGGCAGCTACAATTTCAATTCATATTAATTTAAAATATTAGAAAAAAAACTATGGCTTCTAGATTATCTTGGTTTCTTGAAGCTAAAAATCTAATTACAAAGTAACAGGGTTAAGGAGGATTTAAGCTAAATAAATGCATGATTATCTCATAATGAAAGCAATTTGTGAAAACAATTCTGTGACAATTCTTTCAACAGGTATCGTAAAAGCCTTTAACGAAATAGGTTTAAACATTATCTTAAGGCTTTCGATATTATGGAGTATTGGATCAACTTTTTTCAAAAATAGACTTAGAATTAATAATCACCTTCACCCTACCATATCCTCTGCCTGTCACACTTTTCAAATTGCTTTCAATGAAGCATGCTTCATTCCGTATTCGAACAACCAATTTTATCCATCTATGCAAATGGCAACAATATTTCACATTCGGCAAAGTCCACGGGTGCAAAAATATCAGTACAAAAATCGAAGAGTCGTAGATTTGTAGAAAACGCCTATGCGATGCAGAGACTGGACACACATATAATTCACTTGGTAAATATGTGCGACTATTCAACATTCCGGGACTCATCTTTTCCAGTCAAACTAGAGTGAACTCTTCGAACGTTACATTGCTCGAAAAAGTTACATTCGTGTAAACACCGTTGCTTACTGTAACCCAATGCTTGTTTTCAATAAAATCGACTATGAATTGACAATGTATGGCAACAACGGCAATTGATATGTAAATAGTCTGGAACCGGTTCATCACCAGGCGATCAGCACGTATGATTTTCAAATGGCAGTCGTCAATAATGTCATTGCAGAGGCCGGTCGACAGTCCACACCGCTCGCATGTTATTCCCAATTTCGTTTCAATCAATGTCGACAAAATCAAGATGAAAACATTTGCAAGAATTCGTCAGGCACGGTACTTGCACTATTGCAACACAGCGATGAACTCTTAAGACATCTTCTGATTCAACTTGGTGACAAAAACTTCGGATTGAAGATATTACTTTGTAAATGCGAAAACCTTTCCACTATTCAAAGATTCATGTTAGAGGCGTCTATCCCTACTTGTCTGGATAACTTAATATCAATAAGATTATTTTTCGCTTTATTAGAGCGACTAGACTAACCATCTAGACTATCTTTAAAACAAAAAACAAGAGGTGATAGTGTTCCTTTGTAGTGCTTATTCTACTTTTTGTCTCAAAATTTCTATCTTTGCTCCAAATAAATTGTAATCATAATATTAATAACTGATTGCTTTATTTACAGCGCCAACAACAACGACAACAGTAATAACAACAAAAACGAGTTACAAAAGTTCAAAAACTAATCCATGTGAAATCAATCGTTTACGAAACTTCTCTTAGAAGGCATACTAAACAAGCCCGCGACCATCTATGTGCAACCGAAAAATTATTACCTATCGGTGCTTCCGGAAAAGCAAATGAAAATAAAGTAAACTCTTACAGCCGATATTAAAGTCGACCTGACCTGTACATTGGTATTTTCATTTTCCTACATTTTCTTGTCATACAAAAACTTAACTTACATAAAATCCCTTATGCGGGCAATGGCCGGATCAGTAGGACGACGTTGTCCAAATTTGGCACGGTACGTTTACATGTTAAACTACTATTTTGTATTAATTTTCATCACATAGTATTAGCAACTAATCATCGTTGCAGCAACGTTTTTGGATGTCAACGTGTTCCAAAAATGGTCCTATGCTATCCGAAATTTTTTGTACTCATTTAGTACGCAAATATATTACTTTTCGCGGCTTTCTATCGAAAAATAGTGAAAATGGAAGAAAACACTTTTTGTGTATAATAAAGTCTTTTGCAAAATAGGGCTTTAAAAGGTAGGCGGTCGTTGAAATGACCCGATCTAATCTATTTTCAATAACTATTATCATTGGGCGAAAACACGTCAATGTACCAAATTTCGTGGAAATATCTCTATACGTCGAAGAAGAGAATTCATGGACACATGTATTAGACAGACAGACGGATCGACAGGCGACAGACACGCTTAAAGGTACTTGATATTGTGCCCCAACATGTATTAATACGTGTCCGGCATAAGTGGTTTAAAATATAAAAACATTTTTAATTCTCTATAAAGTCTATTACGACAATACGCTACGGTATCGTCATTTAGACTTAGTGTTTACGTCACTTTTGTTTATTCCTTAACGATAAATTTACTCAACTCGGTCTTATGTACCCCGACGGATTATTTGATGTCTCCAAGTATTTATATGCAATGCTCCCTTATTATGTTTTTTTTTTTTTCGCCTGAATAGCCGAAGGCGATGAATCTCGACTAGCAACTCAATGGTCGTGGGTTCGAATCTCAAGTGCGGTAGAGTTTTTAATAAAAGCCGATAGTCTTGGATGCTAGTGCTTTATTTATTTTTCTGGCGAAATTATTAATAATAATAATATGTTTTTTTTTTGTCTTTGGGTTGTGTGAACATTGCTTACAACAGTATAGAATTTTATTTTTGGAATTATTTATTAAGTTAAAAAAAATAAAAAAAATTTTCCTGCAGAAATGATTTCCATATGATCAACTTTTTCCTGTGAATGTAAAGATTCAGCTACCACGACTAAGCTTTCACTATCGTGCAACACTTTATTTATGCAGTAACAATTTGGACTAAAAAAAACTTGCATCATTTTCATCAAAGTGAAAAGTGGGCACAGTTAGTGGCGAACATAAACAATTCAGAAAGTTACGCTCAGCGGGGGTCGAATCTCACATACCCACCCCTATTACAATCTGTATCGCCCAATACAACAACATTTTCTATATAGTAAAATATTTTTCATAATTTATTTTACTTACTATCCATAAGTTGCAATGAAAGCAATAGTTTGTAGGTTATGTACAAATGCAAATAGACGATTTCGAACTAACACACTTAACTTTTAATTTATTCTAATTTCCAAGGTTTTTTTCTTTGACAACCATCTCGCAAGTATTAACCCATTTTCAGGCAGATAATATATGTTCATTTGAGGAATGTACAAAATACTTTTAAACATCTTGTCTTGTTTGCCTTGTAAGTAATTTAACAGAAAACCTTAAAAAAGTGAAAAAAATAAAATATAATTATTTATAATTAAATATACTTGATATATTAATTTTTGCGACCAGGAGAGTGCCAAGACACAAAGAAATACAGATGCACAGACGGACAGACATGACTTAATCAATTGAAAATTTCACGCTGATCAAGAATATGCATACGTTTGGATTTTACATACGTTATGAGAAAAAACAAAATGAGTATAATCGCCTCTTCACTATCCTTCAGTGTTGGTCTTAGGTCTACCAAGAACCATCACAGACCTGAAATTCAGCTCTTGAAAGATAAAGCTCCCTAGTGAATTGTCGTGGGAAGTCGGACAAATCAAACTAACATTCAAAACAAACAAAAATGCTATAGTCGGGCAAGGCCGACCATTAGATGCGCGAAACCATTTACTTCGCTTAATTAATAATCGATTAAAAATTATACATTATTTTTATGTAAATGCATAATATTCGTGGCAGCCCTCATATTGTAGGATACTCAAATGTCGACGTGGTCTAGAAGTACCAAACTTAATTTCCTTATCAAAGATTTTATTATTTTTCAGTTGGTTCCGTCCAAAAAGGTTTGCTTTCACGAGAAATATAAAAAAATAGACCTACGCCTCCCAAATCTCCTATAGTTAATTAATTAAAGACGAGTTTTCATTATATAATAATAAAAATTAAACATTTTTAGCATATAAAGTCATATTTTTCATTAAAATCCTAATATCCAAAATATAGTCCTACGTGATTCGAAGTCGGTAAAGTTAGTTTTTATGTCAAATTGACCGAATACGATCGAATTTCCATCAAGATGTATTGAAAATCATGTTTTTTTAACATACAAAAAGATTCAGTTTGCGTAGAAAAGATTGAAAAAACCCTATCCGATTCAAAGTTTTCACACCAATATAAAACGCTGAGATACTATTGCTCAACGATTTTTGTCAAGAAATTCGAAAAATTGTATATATTTTTTTTTATAACGACTTATTAAAATAAGGCGAGTGATGGAGAGTGATCAATAAGTGTGGTCTGATTCGAATCATTTTCAATAGGGGACCGAGTGTCATAAAAATTCCGGTGAAATTTCGATCCGACGATTGTTCAATTTTTAAAGCAAATGTTTCACGGGGAAAAAATAACTCGAATGGATCAGAAATTGCTTAGGCAACTGTCATATTGGTACCGCTTAGCATCACATGGCTTAGTTTTCTCGGCATTTGTAGAATGAAATGTTGAGAAATTAGCCTGTAAACGCGGGCCATGTTAAGTTACAAACTAGTACGGATTTGGCCTAAGAAAGACAGTTTAGTTTTATGGTAACTTTGATATATCAAAGAAAACTGTTATCATGGTTCGCATCAACAAGACTGCATTGTAATAAATAAAAATCTTTTAATCCTACACACACACACACACACGCATATACCTTTTAAACTCTATATCGACATGATATGATAGCTGAATGAGTTATTGTTTATTTATTTATTTGTTAATAACATATTTGACAAACATTTCCTATAACATATAATGAGAGCAAAACATAGAGACTCATCGATGCCGTTCTTAATTAATCATTGGGAATATATTCGTTCTTGTTAATAGCCTCGATAATGATCTCTTTATTAAAGGTTTTACTGTGTAGGAGATTCAATATAATAAAAACGCCTTGCTTTTCACTTAAGTTAAAGAATTTATTGCTAACTACTTATGCCATGTGGAAGTTTTTTTTTTTTTTGACAAAAACAAACGTAGAAAGCGCAACCTATTCGCTCTCTATTCATTTAATTGAAACTGCGACATTAACACATAAACTGCTGTTGACCGCAATAGGTGACTTAAGTTTTCTTTGAAACCAGAGCAAGATCTAAGTAATAGAAAAAGTGCTAATGAGGTCTTTTTCTAATGCGAATAATATACGAATGAAATATTAAAAAAAAAAAAAAAAAAAAAACGAATATGAGAATGTGTACGCAAAATGAGATTTTCAAACGACAGCAACAGTAACAGCAACAAGAACAACAACAACAACAAGAACAACAAGCGAACAAATGAAAGAAACGAAACGAGCCAACAACATATTATTATAAGACATGCAATTGCAAATAAATAATTAGAAAAAAAAATATTGTAAAATTTATTTAAAACTGTTAGCTTTGCACAATGGATAGCAAAGAACAATAAAACCCACCTTAGATAGCGTATAGAAGAGACTTGAAAGTAGACCGATTGATACGTAATGCATTAGAAGAAGAATCGCGGGACATGTCTTTGATGTGACGTATCGTATTTTAAGAAGAAATAAATCGATTATGAAATAGTAACGCACGTCTCCCCAGCAATATAGCGTCGAATAAAAGGAAGTCGAACAACGTCAGATAAGTTGGAAAATTGCTTTTATTTTCATTCGCTACACTACATGTCAGCCATCGTATGTCGACGAGAGAAATATGAAGAGCGAAAGAGAGAGATGGGGGAAAGGAAAGAATGCATTCAACTATGTTGCAGAAGAAGCCTCATATGTATAGACCGCCATAGAAGACATAGTATGCCATCCACGGCGTAGAGGTCAATGCAGTTAAGCGGATTTGAATGAAAGATTTACATTGAGATTCTTTGCACTTTTTTTGTTTTTTGTTTTTTTTTTTTTTTTTTTTTGCTTTTCATTTTACGTACAATTTGTTGGTTAGTTAGTTGGTTGGTTGGTACGTTGCCATTGCCGTCTATTCGAGTTCATTTGTGTTTGATTTATTTATTCATTTTCAGTAAAACAGCAAAAAAAAAAAAAAAAAAAAAAACTAAACCGTCTCTACAATTCGGTTCGCAATTTTTTGATGTGTTGAAAGAACAACAAACAACAGGTAAAAACTTCAATTGCGAGACAGTAGAGAATTGTCATTAGATGGTACTTTAGGCTATTACCGTTACGTTCGGTGGTCGTTGATGTTGCGGTTGTGGTTGTCATTGTTGCTGTTGCTGTTGTTGTTGTTGTTGTTGTTGAACTATTTGCGGTTGCCGTGGTAGTGTAAAGGCATTTTAATCTTTTATGATGCGAATGATGATGCATTGAACTGGTTTTTTTTTTTTGTTTTTTTTTCGTTATATTTCTATTGCTCTGAGTTTGAGAAATTGGGGAAAAGGGAAACGTAAAGAATGTCTCAATTTGTTCCTTTTCGCAATTGTTGCTAGAGTTTTTTTTTTTTTTTTCAACTTTATTTTCCGTTCTACAATTTGCAAAATTATTATTACTTATGCTTCATTTGAGGTTAATTATTTTCAAAGCGCACTCTTCTATTGCGCTACTACCACTATTGCGAAACTTCTCCGTTTGTCTCGCTGTCTTTTCGCAATGCTGTCAATCTGCAAGCAGAAAGAAAAAAAAAAAAAAGGAATAAGAAAACTATGTTCGTTTTGCGATTAAATTTGGACATCGAGAAGGTTGTTTCGTTTTGATAATCTACGTAGGGCGGGCACGCCTCATTGAAGCTTTCCCACGTCGAGTGCGTGGCACGTCTCAGTCTTTCATTGAGATCACATGACGATAACTTTCACTTTTTTAAATGTGCTCCAAAAATCCGTTGATCAGCAAACATGAACATTTTGTTTTCATCAGAAAAAAAAAAGAAAAAAAACATTTACTGATGCCATGGACACCGATTGCGCTCGAAATAGTTCACTTGATGCAAGGGCAATGAAACTTTCAATGAAAATTATTGAACTGGGGGTGGGGGCGGGCGTAATAAAGAAGTCACCCAAAAAGTAACTTTATCGATGGGAACAGTTTTGCTTTGAGATTATTTGCTCATTACTTCTCTTTCTCCAGCCCATAAATTTGCGACACGCAACTTTAATTTTCAGCGACAAGTTAAACCGTAACGTAATCGTAAGATTTTTCAATTCCTAACCACAGCATAGAATCGACAAATTCATGTCATCGGCACACAACACTCTTGGAGCGTTCTCTTTACTCTCTTCATTTGTGCAGCTAGATCATCATGTACGGATTATGAAGTGTAATGTATGCGACAAATGATTTGATGATTTCTCTTAAAACGTTCAATTAGTGCAAACTATTGGTAGAAATGTACTTAATGTTGATGCGAACAGACGACATGAGAAAAACGCAGACCCATATAGCTCTGTGTTAAATGCTCAAATTAAGAACACTTCTCTTAAGGTAAATTTTGGCATTTTTGCAAGGTCTTGGAAAGCAAGTCGGAAAAAGAAACTTACGAAAGAACAACATACTTTAATAATCAACTCTGGCCAAAGAATAAAATCTAAGACTTTCTTAAAATTCCAGGCCTATGCAAGCATTTAGCATATCTAAGACTAGATGTGCTAGATCCGCTTTATTGAAAGCTTCATCGCACTTGAGATTTGAGCCCACGACCATTTGAATTGTTAGTCGAGACTCTGTCTATTCGGCCACTTAGGCGGATAACTCTGTAAAATTTATTTTAATGGCGAAATATTTGATTAACTAAATTACTTTGATTGTCAAAAAATAGAAGCAGCTCTCTAAGCGCGTTGCCAAGAATGCAAGAAATGCTTGCTTGTGCGTTGGATACTTAAATTCAGGACAAGATCTTTATACGAAAGGACAGACCATTTAACTAACACCGAATAGCTTGACTTAGAATTGAAATTTATCAACAATATGTATATAGTTTATAAATTTGAGAGATTACTTTTGAATGTTACAAAAAAAAATAACAAAATTAATATATGCTCGCCACGCGTATAATGCTTTTTCAATGTTTTTCTTATAGTAATTTCAGTTCAGAAAAATCGACTTATTTTCTAGTTTAATGGATTTTGGTCGGATTCGAGACGTTTTCATTTATTACCACGACATATTGCGGTTATATTCACCCTAAGGCGAACGTATTACAAATCGAATTCAATTTGCAAACTGTTAATATTGTGTAACATAGCGTTCTTGAAGCCATAGCAGTTAATCTTTTATTCTTTCATTCGATTTTCATGTTATTTAAGTCACTTTGATTAACGCTTTATTTATATTGGCTAATTGGGTCAATAAAGTTAGCGAAATTAAAAAAAAAAAAAAAAAAAAAAAAACAAATTTTTTTTATTTTTTTTTTATAAGCAAAAAATATGAGTTTAATTTAAATAACTTTCTAATCCAATCTATGCGATTATGAATACCAAAATTACGTGGTCCGATGTTTACTTACGATTCACTTAATTTTGTAATGAATGGGTTTCTCATATTTAACACTATTTACAAATTGAAGGTCATTCTGTTCAACTGGCTTTATTTATGTATCATAGATTAAAGTATAGTAAGTTTGCGATCAGAAAGCAGCAACATTTTCCCAATTAAAATATGGATACTCATCCACTCCAGTTTAATTGCATGTAATTCCGATTTACTTCTTCAAGCGAGTCTTTCGCTAACGTTTTTTTTTTTTTTTTTTCATTTTTTTGAACCTTAACCAGGCGAACATGGCATTGGCCTTTTCGCATTGATTAACTTTTGGTTGTAAAAGCAATACAGTGTGGCAGAGTTCATTATCGTGATGCGAAAATAAAGAATTGTTTGCGGATAATAACGCGCAACGCTCTACCAATTCTTCTTCTTCTTGTTAATAATTTGGTCGCGGACGAAGAAAATCATAGTGCGACTACATCGAGTTAATCGAAGGTAACTTCTTGAGCTCATCGAGCAACAATTGACGGGACTGACATCCCGATATTGTCTCTGACGAACCAACCCTCAAAAAACGCCTATCAAAGTTCTATGCCAATTCTTTCGTTTTCGTACGAATAACATTCGTTTTAGTGACGTCAGTTTTGTTGTTTTCAAGATAATCGAAAAACTGATTTTTGTATGTTAATACGCTGCGCTGGTCAATTGAAGAAAATACCATTCAAAGTCAGCATTGACCTGAAATGTGTTATGGCAACTGCTCTACCGCGTAAACAACAAGTTTCCTTGCGACGTCGTGGGGACACACTATAATTGTGAAAGCGGTTCACAACCAAAAGATATGAGTACCCCAGAGACAAAGTGAAAATTATCCGAAAGGATATCAAAAGGCAGTCATTTGCAATGTTGCATAAAAATGTTGGGCAGGAAAACGCTTAAGGTATGACTAAGCGCAATGGGACATAAACATGGACGTGTTACTCATTTGGAGCGCTGTTTAACCGAAATAAAACGGACTTTTTTTAATGGCTTATGCGATAATAATAAGCATAGCACGGGACTGTTCAATGCGACTCTCATGCGTTTAGTGTTCCGTATATCGACTGCGACATGGAACGACGAAGGAAAAAGTGTTCTTTCCTTAACATTACCAATATCGTGTTACGTGTTTATGGCTGCAAAGCCGATCTGGCCCCTGCAATTATTATCTGCTTTCAAATCTGCAAAATGAATGCTCAAGGAAAGAAGATTTGGATTTTGAGAGTTTGAGCAAGCCTTTCTCTACAAATGGCATCATAAACGTTTAAAAGCCTTGGAGTGCTTGCATTACTCTTAAAGAAGACTATCGCAGTAGAGAAACTTGAATTTTACAAAGAGAATTTATTTTTTACTAGGTCATGGGAATTGATTATATCTGCTCCATTATCCACTGAACATGTGTTGACTTTGAAAAGAAAAGCTTGCGCTACATATATTTTTGAATGAAGTTCGAATGTGGAAAGGAAATATGATACAAATAGATTCACAAGAGATACGAGAAACAAGAGGAAACTTGGTTCTATTTTCATTAGTAATCTCCCGTCTAAAGTAGATATTAATTTAAATTTGTTTTCCTTAAAATTAACTTAAGTCTCTTACAAATAAAAGATGATGATGATAATATCAACTGGAAAGCGACCACTGGTACGTCTACGATTTGAACAAAGAAGCCAATATGACCAGCTTCGTTACTTGGCGTGGCATAAGACGCTAAGTAACCTAATTGACTGTCGAAAGTTATGTTGATCGAGGACATCATTAAAACTATGCCCGAATATTTTATCAAAATTAATAAAATGAATGAAAATTTAATTAAATATATCTAAGACATCAACTCATCGGATTTTGATTGAAAGTTTGGTTCTCTGCAAGATTTGTGCATACTGTGCTAGTGCGCACAAGTTGACAAACAATCAAAAATTATGCAGAAAAAGTCACTTTTGCGATTAACACTTTTCAACTTCTCCCTGTCCCCCTCGGTCTGATTTATTTAATCAAGTGGGCGGCTGCCTATTCGGAAAAGTACAAAATTTTTCAAGGAAAACATTATGTATGTCGAGACGGAGACAATCCAAACCTGTTGCACGCATGCCATAAACGCTTTTAATGCAATAACTCGTCAGATTCGCAAGCACATTTGTTAAGACATCTTTTAAAGTGAAGCAGCCAGCAGCAGATGGCTTTACTAAAATATAAAATATGTCTTTCCGAACACGATCTACGACATTTGAAATGATTTTAGGAAATTCCGACATTGCTAGCATAGCTAGATTGGTATAAAAGACATGACAATGCATTCAAAGTTGGTATAAAACTAGAATCAAAATGATTAAACATCTTCCTGAAAGTAGTCCAAGTAGCATTGCAGTTAACTGGTTATAAAACTAGACGACGACAAAGAATACTTTCATATGAATGATGAAATTTTAGATCTAATAAAACTTCCTCTCCTCCCCTTCCTTTTTGTATATTAATTATTCGATGAATTCGTTAACAATTGCATTGGATTGCATTGCATTGCATTACTTCTAATATGTTAAGAATGCTTCTCAGCGCGAATAAGGGCTTTCCTCTACTCTATGCACTTTTAGGATGGAATGTTTGCTTTATTGCTGTTGACTGACTGACTTGTATAAAAATTGATATGATTTTCTTGTTTTTATTAATTTAATGCTCGCATACATTGCTGCGATGCAATTATTTT